GAGATCTCTTCTTCAAATCCGGAGTCGTGGCCAATAGATTTCGGAGAAGGATATGGCGGATGTTGTTGAAGAGTCGAGACTCCACGCCTTCTACTGCAGACACTTTCTTGAACAGACGGCTGACCGCGTGTACAAAAGCTGGCAAGTGAAAACGAACCGCGGACGTTTTCGGCACAAGTAAAGCAAGCTCCTTGAGCCGTTGGTCAGCAGACGGTGTGATTTGGAGGTAGGAGTCAAAGCCCCAGCCTAGGATTGCGCGTTGACGAAGGTCGAGGTCGCTGCCGGTGTCTTCTAAGACGCCTACTAGCAGATTGTGGTAGGCGTCAAGGACCCTAGCTGTAATTTCTGAGTCCGCAAAAGCACAAGCGCCTTTGACGAAGCGAAGCCGTCCAGCAAGCTGTTCGATGGTAGATCCATTCTCAACTCGTCCTTCCATAGAGAGCTGCCCGAGGATGAAATCTCCAAAATCCGCAGGACAAGTTATCGAGCCGGGGCTCCCCGACCCACCAAAGTTGATCTGCCTTTGCCCCAACCATTCCAGCATGTAGTAAAGACTTACCTCATCCTCAGACCAATGCGTTGAAATGTATTGTTGGAGTCGTGGAAGAACAAGGTCGGTGAATCTCTCCTTTCCAAGCTCTGCACAAATTTTAGAGAAGGTGAAGAATTCCTTTGGGGAAAAACGCTCCGCGGTAAAGTCCAACAACTTCTGCGAGAAGGGCAACAACTGGTCCATTGGCGCAAATTGAAGAATGCTGGCGATAAAAAGGGCGACGACCACACGGAAGCCGTAATCGTCCTCATTGAGGCTCTGTACAGCTGCAACTACTGCTTGAAAGGTCTCGATGAAATCCGCCCAAGCAGAAATCCTGGAACCCCTTCGCGTCGCTAGGACAACCAGCAGAAGCCTTAGAGTGAGAGCCAACTGAGTGACATCTTGTGACACAGCAAAATGCCTTGTGACGTCCAGGACATCCACCAGAACTGGGCGAAACGCGGCGCTTTTGGTCTCATGCATGAGGGCAATCAGAACACCCTCCACAGCCCGCCAAGTTTGCTCATGATTACTTGGGTGGAAGAAGCGATGCAAAAGACACCGTAACAGGGGCACAGCACATGAATGTAACTGTCCATCAATCCCACGAGCACTCTCAACGCAAAGACTCGTGACGCCCATTTGATATGAACCGAGGGTTGTGCAACCATCTTCTTGTGTGAGTCCATCCAAAAGATGCTCGATTGCGAGGCACAAGGGTGTGTGTGCGCGGTTCTTTTCAAATTGCGCGGCGGCTTTTCTGAGCAGGAAGGCCAGCGATTCTGCACTGAAGCGAACAATGTAACTCTTTTTGGAGGAGAGGTATGGTGTCATGATATCGAGCAGGGGCCTCAGATCTTGCACGAGCAATTTAGACAGGTATTTGAATATCCACGCAAGGCAGGTGAAGCACCATTCAACAACCTCAACCTTCTCATGAGTGGCAGCAATCTCCGCAACCAGTTGCACAGTTCTTGAGAAGTATCGCTCGAAGCCTCGGCCAAGATCATGTGCAAGGTGGGTGAGAAGACTGAGGAGAGGTTCGAGGGCAAGTTCGTCCCTTTTTCCGATGTGTTCAACAAGGATCTCGAAGACAGCGTCTGCATGGTGAAGTAACTGAGGCAGACTTTCGCATAGCGGACCCGCCTGGCTGAGGAAGTCGGTGAATGTGCGAGACAAGTTCAATTCCACCCACTCTTCCAATGCGGTATGGAAAAAGCTTTGCAGGGGGTCCTTCTCATTGTTCGCAGGCTTCCTTTTTTCCACAGTATGTACAGGGTCAATCTTCAACCGTGCTATTCGCTTCGTGAAGGGTTCGAATCGATGCAGGTTTGCCGGGGTCGAAGCCATGGCGAAACGTAGGAGGTGAGGTCATGGGGGGAAGAAGAGCGGTACTTTACAGGCCTCCATCAACAGTGTCCGGGTCTGGAGCAGAGAAACACCAGTTTGACAGTTGGCTTTTCGGCGACGAAGTTTGTCTGTGACTGAGCCAAACCGTCAAAAGTGCGGACATGGAAAATTTCCCCCATATTCCACGTGACTGAGGAAATGCGTCACCGTATGAGATCCGGTGGGGTACTTGGTACAAGGTACTTCGCGAACGCTTGTTCGTGAAGTTGGGGCCTGGATCACATGACAACTTTATTTGCGAGCCAATCTCGCCACACATTAAAGGGTCGATCTCGGTATACAAGTACACTATACCCACCACCTCTTCCATGTCTCGAACTCTTGTGAAAGCATAAGGAACGAATAAAGCCACTGATCTCGCAAAGTGCCGAAGCACAATCGGACAGGAGACCAGAGTCTAGTTGTTCTCCTGTCCGTTGGATCTCTCACCTCACATTTCTCTCAAGCATCAACATGGGAACCGCTAAGATGTGAGTCGATGGTGACCTGATTGAAACTGCATAAGCGTCATCGCTGACTCTGGTAGCCTTGTGGTTGGAAGTATCCAAGGACAGCTGAAAAAGGCTTTTGGCAAGATATCAAAACTGCAAGCCAAACACGACTTCTCGTTGGCCATCGTCGTTGGCGATCTTTTCAGTCCTCCCGGTGATGAGAGCAATTCTAGTGAAGTAGAGGCGTTGCTCGACGGTCAGGTCGATGTACCGCTCCCAACATATTTCACGGTCGGCGACTCGCCTCTCCCGGAAATGGTCAGAGGAAAGCTAGACGGAGGAGACATTTGTCCGAACCTGTTCTATCTGGGCCGCAAAGGGACCATGACCACTACGGATGGCGTGAAAATCGTCTCACTTGGAGGTCGGCTAGTTCAAAACGAATCGTCGCTCACTCAGAAGCTGGGTAAATATGACCCATTGCACCTGGACAGCGAATCAAGAGGACTTGATGGCGCTCACTTTGCACACATTCTCGTCACAAATCAGTGGCCGGCAAACATCAGCAATGGGTCGAAGATCGCATTGCCCGAGGGGATCGATGGGACAGCTGGCACACAGTCGATTTCCAATCTCTGTCAAGCACTCAAGCCATGGTACCATTTCTCCAGCAGTCCCCGTGCCTTGTGGGAGCGAGAGCCCTTCAAGCATGTCCTCGACTACACTTCGTTTGAGGAACCGAGTGTAACCAGATTCAAAAGTCTGGCGAGCGTATCTGCGCCCACGAGAGAGTGGATGTCGGCGTTCACATTGGATACTTCCCGTCCTCCAGCCACGATAGAGGCTCCGCTCGAGTCACCGTTCATCAGATCCACACCGCCAAGGAAGCGACAGGCAATTGATGACAAAGGTCCGTATCCGGGAGAGGCCGATGAGGGTTATGGGCCACGCAATCGCAAGCGTGCTCGGAGAGGTCCGCGCAATGACCCCAATGACTGTTTCATGTGCCTGAATAAGCCCGGTGCCAAGACCCACCTTGTCGTGTCTCTGGGGGACGAAAGCATGGCCACAGTGACGAGAGGTCCTTTACCGTTGCCATCGACATTCCCTCAGCTGTCTTTCACCGGCCACGTCATGATTATTCCATACTACCATGCTGCAGACGAGCTGGCTTCTGGAAAGAGATCATCCGACGAGATCGCATTCGAGTTTAAGGAAATGAATAGGTTCCGAAATGCTCTTAGTGTCATGGTCGGTTCAAAAAGCCACGGTCAGCTGGGCACCGTCTGCTGGGAAGTCAATCGGACCGGCATCCGGCATTTCCACTGGCAACTCATTGCATGTCCAGTCGACCGCATAAAGAAGGGGCTTGTTGAGGCAGCATTCAAGGTGAAGGCGGCTGAGTACGGGTATCCAAGCTTCCAATCCTGCGAGGCCGGCGCTCAGCTTCCCCAACGATCAGATTATTTCCGAGTGTGGACCTGGGTCGCCGATCCTGTCCAAATGGCCGACCATGCTAACGGCAACGTGGACGGAGACGAAGACGTGGGCGTGGCAACATCCATGTTCTTTGCACTGCCCACGAGTCAAAAGTTCAACATCTGGTTCGGCAGAGAGGTGATGGCGGGTCTGCTGCAACTGGAAAACCGAGTCAACTGGATGGACTCGATCTCGTGGAAGGATGGGAGCGACCAAGCGGCCGAGGAAGACGACGCGGCGGGCCTACGAGCCGACTTTGAGGAGTTTGATTTTGCAATGAAGTGAAAGCAAACTTTCCAGGTAGAACACGGTCCTGCATATTGGAATTGGAGCTGGTCTGGATGCCCGGGCGGTGGGAGGGACATTGTACATTTATCCTACACATTTCGAGATCTACCCGTCCCTTTCATTTCTAGGGCTGAGAGAGGAGTTTACCGGTTGGCCTTATTGAGCCATGGTCTGGTGGCGCGGTCTGACATGATAGCAGTGCCAGCGAGATAATAGGAGAGGAAAGTGATTCACTACCAGATCGAAGTTGCGGCCTTTGTTTTCTTACAACATCTCGTGTGTAATGTGAACTCCATCTGTAATGATCATCAACGTATCAAGGTCTGTACTTGTTACATCCCTCCAGCAGGAGCGCCAAGTCACTAATGAGGCGGCCCACCTCCCTCACATCGCGAATCTTTGGAAATATGGTGGTACTTTGCCATTCATCCTATACCACTGCTTTCAGATCGCGGTTACTGCGTCGGCGTACAGTGCTTTCTGAACTGCACCGAGGCGCAGAGTGTTCAATTCATCTCCTCCTTTTGGCCAGGCATGAAAATTCCGAACACTGGCCCACTGGTCTGCTCGTCACGGGCCAACCTACTCCGTCTTCGAGGCCACCTGGCTAGCGCCCAGCGTCTGCCATCATTCCGAACATCCAAGCTATGGACAGTCCTCCCCTGACTGATAGAATATCTGGGCCGTCGTATGCAATGACAGCCGGCCCATTTTTGGCGGCGTCATGATTCCGGGAAAACCCCTCAATAGCAATGTCGAATCCGACTCCTTTGTAGCGTCAAGGACCCAGCAGTGGAGGGACAAAGAAATTATCGTCGTGCCATAAACATAATGGTACCAAAAACTAGGACTGCCATTCAGCCCACTTTCCATGATACCTCGCCACACTCTGATCTGACTGAGCTGAATTTTTCGACTCTGTCGATCATCCACCCAGAGGTGTACTCTTCTTTCGAGTCGACCGGCCGACCCATTTTGATGGAATGGCTCAGTTTGCAGGTGCCGGGATGCCAGGCAAACTGCATACATTGCACATCCTTCTCACAAACCGAGCGGCAGTCTTCGATGGACTCGATGGATTTCTTCTCGAGCTCGGAAAGATCGTCCCATATCTGTTGCTTCTCTTCATCATTTTTCCAGTCCCAGTCGTTGTCTTCCTTGACGTGGCCCTCACTAGGTTGCGTAAACGTTTTGTCTCCAGAGAGATTGTTCCAGTCCTTCTTTTGTTCGGTGATGTGCGGCCTGATGAAATCTTCAAAGACGTCCTTGTACAAGTAGGGGACTGCGCCGGGGTCTTCATCGTCCCAGGTCTTGTTTATCCATTCTTTCTCAAACTGCCAAAGCCCTTCAACCTCGTACGAGTGCACATGGTGCCAGGTGATGGCCGGGGTGCACCACACAGTATCAGACCAGACGAAGCCAGATGGCGGATCCACCTGAAACATCGGCCAGGCACCGCTGACGCTGACTCCCGCTTGGCTCATCGCAACTCCTAGCATGACATCCCCGCAGCAGATCGTGGAAGTCTCTTTCTCCCAATCGGCGATCTTTTCAGGTGTCCGGATCTCTTCAAATCTCTGCACCGCATTGCGAGATAACAGATAGCCAGTGCCACCTTGGGCAAAGGCAGTAGGGCCATGCCAATAAACGCAGCCTGCATACAACGGTTCGTCCGGATCCATGCGGTCGAGGAGAAGGAGGAGGTTGGCCCAGCTGAGATAAGTGTCGGCATCGATTGTGACAAACCATTCCGCGTCCGGATACTCCACGTAAGCCTTGTGGAGCATGGGAATGTTCTTCCATTTATCCAGAGCCCAGGCCCTGTCGGATCCAAGCACACTCACATCACCATGCGCAACATGAGCGGCGTGGATTTCATTATAGAACCGAAAGTCATCGTGATTCTCTTTGTACTCTTGTCCGATCCCATCCAAGGCGTCTTGAATCTGGAACTCTCCCACTTGTTGCTCCATGTCGGAGAAGACCATGAAATTAGGGACGCACTGAGCCAAGGTGACGAGTTGTTCAGGGACGCGCGCGAAAACTTCCGTAGCACCCGTCTTGACCATGACCACGACTTTGTCTGCGCCTGGAAGCCGGCGGCATGGTGGTATGCGAGAGTCAGATACGTACGGGGGAGGAGAAGAAACGGGGGCAGGTTCGAGAGGGCTCGTTGACGGGGATTCGACTTCGGGCTCAGGTTCAGGCTCAGGATCGATTTCAGGGTCGAGGTCAGGGTCGAGGTCAGGTTCAGACTCGGGTTCGGACTCGGGTTCGGACTCGGGTTCATGGCCAGTGTCCGCTTCCGCATGGTCTTCAACCTGTGGAACTGGATCGGGGTCTTCATCGACCTCGTAGTAACCGTCTTCCAGGTCGACGTCGGTTACATCTTCGACAGCGGCGGAGGTGGAGCTGGAGCCTTTCCAGAAAGATGCAGGAGAAGACAGGCCATACTCGCCCTCTGGGTCAGGGCTGGGGAGATAGTAGGATCGGAAGAGGAACAGGGAGAGCAGGACGACGAAGACAATGAGCAGCCGTACAGGCCCTAATGCTCGAGGAAGGGACATGGGCATGTTGCTCATGGCCAAGGAGGAGACACTCGACCTCGAGGAAAGCAGGGCGAGGTCGAGAATTGAAGAGGACAGTGCGAAAGGCCGCGAAAGGGAGTCCGCAGGGAGGCCATTGATATTTGGGAGAGGGGCCTTCTGCTTCGGACTGCCAAGCTCCAAGGGGCAGAAAGGTCATGTTTGATAGGCGCACGTGCACGGACCCTGGCTATGCAGAAATTGGCTTGGCGGGCTCGGTTGGTTATCTAACTTGCGACCCTTGGAAGAAAATTCACCGGGACGATGTCATTTTACGAGGTACGCAGGATCACAATATCCATCATATTCCTTATCAATTGACGAACTAAACGTTTTGGTGATGTCGTTGCTTGCTGGGTGAATTAGGGGCATGGGAAACAGAAAAGCCACCACGGCGGCAAGAGCATCGCACAACCATCATTCAAGACGCCAGACAATCTCATGGCCAATGCTGTCGTTCCTTTTTCGAATGTTCCCTGCGGTGCAACGTGGCTTTTATCCATGGAACCCCTCGTCTGCCTCGATCGTCCACCCCCCGCCTTCAATCTTCGTCCACTTCCTCTCTCCGTTGCGCATTCGTTCCCCGCTACGCTTCTCGTTACTCTTTTTCGTCCGAGACGGGCAGAGCGCGTTATAGGGACGGCCTGCTTTCCAAGAATATAGGAAGGACATTGGCATACGCCAGGAGGGAGGTTCTACCTCGACAATGCCATCTTCATCGAAGCGGAAGGTTGCTGAAGCCGCGACATCCTCGTCCGTGCGAAAAAGCACTGTGACGCGGATCGTCAGCTCGACTTTGCTAGCAGGATCGAGGACGAGCTCTTCCATCCATGATGGCAACTGCGGTATGATTTGGCTGTGGATTTCGGCTCGTTGCCGTTGAACGAGCTTGTCTATCTCGATTATGTCCGTGAGATTGTGTCCGTAATGATTCAAGTTGACTACCAAATAGCTGAAGTCCCCGTCCCTGCAGCAGAGGATCGCTCGCAAATTGGGGAACGCCGCTGTGTCGACGGCTGGCATGTAGGTATTTTCCAAGATGATTGATTTAATGCTTCGCCGGATCCCCTCTGGGATTGCGAGGCCGGTTGGACGTGCGCCCTCTTTACAGACGAGGGTCTCGATGCACGTCGGGGAGGGCTTGCAAAATTCGCGAGAGACGTTTGCAAGCGTCAATGCTTGCGCTGGTAGACGCCAGCAAGACCGGTAGGGAAGGTTGGGATCCGGTTCGACGGTGATGTACTCTCCCGCGAGAACATTGTCGAGGATTTCTAGTTGTACTTCTTTGGGAAGATCTAGAAAGGTTTGGGGCTCCTGAGTTTTCGACATGTTTGAAGATGTGAAGGGACGCTGGGACAGGACGATTCAAGCAGAATACAGGATGTTGGGTTGGAGCGAGGACGAGGGAATCGAAGCTGAACAGCGTTCATTCTCACTATATGTCCCTCAGAACCAGTCCGGCCCCTCTCCTGTCAAGGGATGCTGCTATGAATGTGACGTCAAGAAAGAAAAGGTGGCAGGCCATTATCTGGCGAAGCCCCGAAGTCTTGAGAGGATGCCGCACGGCACATCCCTTGCTTGATGCCTCCTGCACAGGGGCACGGAAGGGGTGGCTGGATTGGTCTTACCCAGACAGCACTCCAACCCGATTGTCCTCCCACCTCAATTGATGCAAGCTCAAGGATTCATCAGGCAAGATCTTGAAAGGACGACGCATTGCAATGCAGCCTTGTCTGTGTCGATTGAGTTTGACAAAGATGCTTGTCGCCCCAGATAACTTATCCCACAATACCGCCACGTTCGCCAGAACAAGTATAGGCTAGCCTGGCTGGTGTGGCTGGTGATGCCGGCTCGCCGGCCCCTCAACAGAATCACGTGCGTAATCGGCTATTTGCGGTCTCAGTGAACATGTGACTGTTGGGCCCTTCGGGTGTGTTCAGCCTCGAGGCGCACTGCGCGTCGAGCCCATCTTTTACTTCTTCCTAGTCGGTTTTTGCTCTCGTTGTGGACTGGACAACTGTAAAACAAATTCGAAACGGCCAAGGAAAAGAAGGTGGTGGCCGCCCTCGACAATGCAGCGGTAAAAACACTCGTTGCTACGCTGCTGATTCAGACGATCTTTGCAACAGGAACACGTCGATCACAGCCACGGTAGACGGGGGGAGACAAGAGACGGCTTTGAAACAAGGAAGGCCAGGAGAAGGCTTTGGAATGAATACGGCTGAAGATGGAGGGTTACTCGACCTTGTCGTCTATGGCCTCGCAAACCACAACCAACTAGATCGATACACAGATGGACGGAATGGCAACAGTGATGCCCATGCACATAGATGGATTGATGGACAGGAAAATAGGAGAAGTTGGAAAGGGTCATGGCACGTAGATGAGTACACAAGTGCCCCGACCGACCGACCGAGCGGGCCTGTGAGCAAGGAGGGCGACGCATGCATGCTTGTATGTATGTACAGCATCTCCGTATTGGATGTATGCACATGTCTATGCTATCTGCATATCGGATGCGTGTATGCAAGAGTGCTGCGTAACGAACATGGTCTAGTGTACAATGTCAACGTATTCTGTCCTCTTCTGCGCTGTGTTCCGTATAACTATCTCCTCTACCGTCCGTTAGGTGAGCCTTTTTCCATGTTTATCTCAAATTTTAGATAAGGCCACCAACACCACGTCCAGTGCCAGTATACATATAATTATTCAAATCCCAGTCCCTATCCATTTCCAACCTCACCGGGCAAGGTGCGCAAGGGTTCCACCTCCTCGCCGCGTGGGCCCGGTCGATCGAGCGGAGGACCGAGTTCCCGATCGGCCGCGCCGGGTGACGGCGTCTGATGTCCGCCAGCGGCGTTGGCCGTGGGCGCTCACGTGACTTAGAGGAAAAGATCAGAGACTTGTCGAGGTCCGCACTCTCGAAGAACCTATTTTTACGCAAAAGAGAAAAGGGAAAAACAGTCAGGACAGGCTTGACATGGCGAGACAGAAAAGCCCGACTGTTGGATAGATGGGGGGACGAGAGAAGGCGGAGGACTCGAGTATCGAGAACACCTTACTGGAATGTTGATGGGTGAGGAAGCTTCCAGAAGGTCGAATCGTACCCGCCTCCCGTTTGACGATGGTCTCGTCGCCGTTGGCGACAGAGGGGGCCGTCGTGGCGGTGGTATGGAGGCCGACTGCCCGTCCTCTGTAGCCGTTGTCGTCGTCGTTATCGTCGTCGCCGTTTCAAGTACTCTCGCTGCTTCCTCTGGCGCACGTTCCGCGGCTCCTCTCGCTATTTCTTCTCCTTCTGCTGTTGCTCCCGTTGCCGCTTCTAACGTAACAGCCGTTGTTGGCGGTCTCTTTGGTGATATCAGGGCATTGGGCATAGGAAGTCTCGCCTCCTTGTGTTCGCCATGCTCACCAAACATGTCCTCGTTGGGATCTATAGTGCGAGCTGGTTCGAGTCCTATTCGAGGAACGAGCACCCCTTCGGCACCAAGGTTTGTGTTGACAGGGTCGCGAGAGCACCACTGGGGCAAACCACCTGAGACGCTAGGCGCTTCACCCACTGCGCAAACTGCCTCAACCTCGTTGTTCCTGCAGATCTGTGACAGGATGGCGACGGAATAGGAGGTTTCAGGAATGCTCTTGTGGTTACAGGCCAATGTATATATAAACTGGCAGAGTCTCTCTGAATAGCTAGGCGACCAGAACACAATCAATCAGACAGGTCCACAACTCAACCTTCGTACAACAGTTTGGGCCGCTGCTGGGTCGGGGCTTGCCGTGAAAGCTAAATTAAAAAAAAAAAAAAAAAAAAGGAGAGAGAGAGAAAGCTAGAAAGGAGTTTTGAGACTGGGAAAATGGATCGGCCGTTGACGCTGAAGAGGCTCAGGCTTCCCTGACTTGAGGTGGCAAGGTGTGCAGGTCGGCAATTGACTACAGAGATCATTTTGGACCTGGTTGCAAAGTTTGTGGGTTTCGAGGTCCTTTCGACCTGTCACTCAGTTCACCTATGTGGCATTTATGACACCATCCCTTCCCAGTGCCTCCGGGGAGTCTTGGGTCTTCTCCGCCTATCAAGCTGATCGCCCTGATGCTAGATGCCCTGGAAAGCTGCCTTTTCAGTGAACAGAGGTGAGCTTTAGAGGCAGCATGTGACAGGTCTAGTTTGTTTAAGCTGCACGGCTACACTGGGAAATTAACTAGGGGTATCATAAACTGCGGCTCGGGACAGATGGGATAGTCATGGCTGTTTGGCATTTTCCTGTGTCCACTAACTAGACAAGACAAACGCTCCGCCAATCGTTCGCTCTGGTTGGGGGGGTTGGGAAGACCCGGCTGCTGTCCTCGTCCTGGATTCGGGTGACCTGCTGATTGATGCTCTCATTTGTTGTCTCGTTGGGGCTGCTCTGATCTTGAGTGTGGCCAGGGGTGGGAGGAGGCCAGGACAGCTTCTGTCCCGGTTCCGAGAGGGTAGTAATGGCGGTGTCGGGGTGGTGGGTGGGTTGATCTTCGCCGAGTGGAGGAGCAGGATTCTGGTCTGCTTGGAACAGGGATGTGGATGGCGATCCAAGCTCCCTTGGCTCGCTCGCTGGAACGTAGCAAGATCCATCATCTAGAGGGTGGTCGTTCGGGCGCCACTGTCGGGTAAGGCGCTCAAGCCACTCATAGTCCAATACCCGCCCACCCTTGGTGATCAATTCGTTGGTGGGAGACAGGACTGAGTAGACGGTGATGGCATGAGGAGGTTTTGGAACGCCAGGCTCCTCCCCGTTATGGACTCGAAAGAAGCCGCGAGGAAGCAAGGGGACTGGGGTGTTGTCCACAGCCGCCGATGGCTCGTTGCCGACTATGGCAGCCAATGACTGCTCCCTGATTCCAGGGGCCCAAAGATATTCAAAGCTGCGGATGGGGGCCGACATTAGACTTTTGGGGGGGTAGGAGGAGAATGGACAGAGAAGTAGATGCAGTATGCAGAAGCCGGTCATGGACATTACGCAGGGCACGGGAGAGTTTAAGGGGCAATATATCTCTGTACCAGCGTTTTTCATTAGCACATCATGGGTAGGTCTGTGACATGATCATCGGAATCATGGCCATATTGAGGCTGAGGAATGTTGACAGGTCCCAAAGGGAAGGGAATCCGCATTTTAGACGCGTGACGGTAGATTGGGGTGATAGAGGAGCGGCGCAAGTGAGTATAGGTCATCACGGTCGCGTATGCCTGTGTCTGTCTCGGCCGGTAAGGCTGAGCGCCAAGGAAATAGGGATTGGCAGAGTCGCCCACCCCGTTAAAACTCAAATAGTTCGTATATAATTGTGAAAGATTCATATCATTTGAACCATCTCGACGAAGCAAATGGAATGTTACTAGCCTCGTAAGACCGTTGCAGGTAAGGAAGAATCTTTAACGGGAGATTCTCCACGATATACCTTGGCGGCTTAGTCATTAAGTGAGTGCAATAATGGAGGACCACAATGGATGAAAAGGTTTCCCGAGATGCCGAACTCGCCAAGGTGCTATCTCGCTCACTCGCAGTATTGCTACTGTATATACCTGCCGCGGTGTATAACAAATACTGAGTTAGTGAGCTAGTGGCCGTTTAACTTAACCTAGATCTGCTAGTATAAAGATCTCTTTCCTTCGCTGTGATTGTCGCTGTGTCTGTGTATCCTGTCACTCATTCCCTCACCCCCACACACCCCCTCCTCTATATGAGATATGAGACCACCACCCCCAATAATCGGGATATTATCGCAGCTATCACCTATTCTCCTTTCCTTTCCTGATCATGTTACTACATCTGGATCCACAGGGCAATGATATCATGGCTTGTTCGGGGCTGTCATTCTACTTGGCCGGTTCGCTCATCCGTCCAACGGACAAGAAATTGTCTAGCGCTGTCTCTCAATCTGTAGCCTCATTGCCCGTGAACCCTTGATGGCTGCATCTCCCAGGGGCAATTCCACAGCGGCCCAGTGACACGCCACGCGCGTCCAATAGCGCACATTCCCCCTCACAGTGCCCAGACTGTTGACAGGCGCCATGTCTCAGAGCTCTCCTCGCATGGAAAGGAACGTGACAGAAATCTAGAGCGCGAAGGAGCGGGTAAAGGAGTGGTGTGAGTGCGTGTGGAGAGGGCCAGAAGGTGGGACTAGGGGCGTCTGTGCAAGTGAGACAGAGTTTCAGAGAACACATCCCCGCAAACTCAAACTCAGCTTGATCACCGGCCCACTCGCCGGACTGAACTTTGCGGCATCGATGGGGCCAGAGCTGAAAATTTCCCGGGGAAAAAAACGGTGACGGCTCGGACATGCAATACACAGTTGTGCCTTCGCCCGGATGGGACAACGCCACCAAACGTTCGAGCAGGGAGGCTTCTGGGATCTGTGCAAGGAGAGGGAGAGACTTTTGGTGACAGGTTCAGCTGTTTTGGTAGCTCTGCGGACAAACCATTTCCTCCACTCAGCGCAATGCGGGCTTATCCAATGGTGCGGCTGAAAAGGAGGGGTAGCTGGCCACATGTTGAGTGCGGGGTACATGACCCGAGCTCCCCCTGGCCCCCCCTAAAATAGCTCGCCAATAGCTCGCCAATAGCTCCCACTCGATACGAGCCAACGCGTCCGCGTGGGCAACCATCGATTAGCTGAGTCTTGCGTAAACCGAGTTTTTCTTTTGGCGGTTCAGTTGTTCGGATATAAAGGATGCTGGTGGGGCCATCGGGGATAAAGCCCTGCAGCGAGCAAAGACCAAAGAGGCAGAGGGAGGCAAGGAAGGGAGGGGACAGAAGTTTGGGTCCAACGCATTAGCAGCCTCGGGACGCCTACTCAGTCCTGTCAGGGCGTTACTTAGTTCGTGTTTTGTTGCTTTTTTGCCCAGTTTTTGTTGCCCACCCGCCATGCCGTCCTTGTTGTCTCGCAGTGCTTTTGTCCACCCGCCCCATCCACGGTTGCTTGTTTGCCTCATTTGCTGCGCCCCTCCCCCTTCCCCCTCACTTGGAACAATCCTCCTCAGACAACCCACCTTGCTCATCTTCCGAGTCGGAAAAGGAGATCATGTCGGAGTCGGACTCCGCCCCAGCCGCAGCTTGCACGGCTTCTTGCACTGTCTGCGTGGCTTGCACGGCAACTGCCTGCGCTGCCGCGGCGACCTCGCTGCGTTCCGAGTTGTCGATGGTGACTAAACGCTGAAAGGCTTGCAGGTACTCCTCGACAAAGGGGTTGGGCGTGTCGGTCTCTTCTTCCGGGTTTTGGCCTGACTGGTCGTGGTGGACGAGGTTCCTCAGCACCCACTCGGCCTTTTGAAAGGCCCCCTTGGACTGCGCGAGGAGCGTCTCCAGATGCTCCCACTTGTTGTGGTCGGGCACGGTCTGGATGGTGTTGGCCACCTCGCTGAGGCGGTACTCGTGGGCCTGGATGTCAACCACCGCCTTCTGGTGCTGCGGCTTACCTTCAGTCCCGCGGCTAACGGTGCCCCGCGCCCGCTGCCAGTGTAGGCGGAGGAGGTCCCTGGTTGCGGCAAAGTCCTTCGCATTAGGCGTAATGTCATGAGTGCGAGAGAGGGTATGGACCATCTCCCAGTAATTTGACATGACCTGAATCAGGGACGTGATTTGGACAGGCTTTTGGACAGGTTAGGAACCGGTAGATCAATCATACGTCAATGAGACTCACGTAGAGGGAAGCCATCGTGTAGCAATCCTGAGTTGGGCGCAGGCCGGCATCATCACACTCGACAGCGGCGATGAAGATACCCCTTTCAGTGTCGTTGTGAACTTTGAGTTGTTTGGGCCACCCCGGGCCCGGCTTCTCTGGCACAAAGTAGCCAAAGGTGTCATTCGTGTGGTCCAAAACCCAGCCCTGAAGGAACCCATTCGGCATGGCCTTGCGGACCTCAACTCGGTTTCGGCCTGTGATATCGCGTCGGTAATCAAGAGCGCTGTACTGGCCTTGGGTCACGCGTTGTCCAAGACGGCGGCACCACGCGGCAATGACCTCCAGGTCGGACTGGGAACCAGCCCGGCCAATGTAGCAGAGTTGGGGCGGAGGTCCCGGCGGGAGCCAAACTGCGGGGGGGACACGATAAGGAAGGGGGGCTATGTATTCCGGGGTCTGGGGTTCACCAGCCTGAGGCGGTTCAGGCGGTGGCCCTACACCAATAAGGGTATTGAGCTGGCTGCGGAGCTCGTGGAGCTCCCGCACATATGCGACCGAGACGGTATCGAAGATCCGGTCCTGCTCTTTAACGGTGTAGAATAGGCATCCAATGATCCGATCGTGTTCCTGGACGCGAGTCTCCAGCTGCACCCGGCCCGCCTCAAGGGACTCCAGCTGGTTGCTGAGAGATTCCATTCGGTGCTCGAGGCTCTCCACCCTGGAGATGAGGGCTTGAGGTACCCTGTGGACGGTTGTTAGCGGGATGGCACGATGGGCCGGCTAGGGGGCAGCGACGGCCGACAGAAACAATGGGCAGACCGAGTTCTCATGTCGGTGACAAGCATTTGCCTTGCCAAAGTCTCTTGAATTTCAGGGAAAGGGGCCAAGGGTCGATCAAGGACCCAAGTCGCAAGTATGTGGATGAGGCAGAAGGAATGCAATGAAGTCAGGCTGGGCGTTTCTGAATCCCAAGGGAGAGATGGAGAAGGGATGGAATTCAGGAAGGGGGAATGCCCAGCTCTATATACCCTGCCTTGCCATGCCATCCCTCGCTCTCTCCCTCTCTAGGAACCACTCTATAATTTTGGACTCCTCCTGCCGGGTGCTCTGTTCGCTGGATCAGCTGGTCGACGGATCTCGAAGCCGGATGCTTGTTCTCTTGAGGTGTGTGTACATGTACACCAAGTTGATGCGGGTCGGATGTAGTACAAAGGGTACCCGCTTCCACTCCCCTGGACGCTGCAAAGGCCATCCATGGCATGGATGCACCTGAGTAGTTATCCACCGAGCCCGCCCATCAGTTGAATAGCCTTTTGCGGCGACCAGCCTTGGCAGGCTTGAACAGGCTTGAACAGACTGGGCATGTTTGTCATGTTTGGGCGTATCTTTGGGCATGCTTGGGTAAGTTTGGGCATGTGCGGGGCTCTACCAACTGCTATTCGCCCGCCACTTTGCCAACCAAAAACCCCTTGCTGGAAGCTCGGAGCCGGGAGCTGGGAGCTGGGACTCGCGCACTTCAGGCTCCTTGAATTTCCCGCGCTCTTTGGGATTGGCAGACGAACCCCTTGCGCCCTTCTACGCACCCACTGGCAAGCACCAGGCACGCCTCTCCCGGCAAGAATGCGCTACGACGAAGTCTAAACTGCCCGGGTTGAACCATGGTCGGACCCTTTCTAGGGGGAGGACATGTCAATCGGACTTCACGGTGGTCTGTGCTTAGAAGTTGGAATGTCCGGCTGCCCTTTTTTCGCGCGGCTAAAGCACGTTTTGGACGTTTTGGGCGCTTTGGCTGAGTATTTGCGAGTATGCATTCCAGCCTCCAGCCCTTGTCAGGTGCAGGTGTTGCCGATGGTCGATGTAGGGGATGCCACAACCCTGACCGATCCAACGATGAAGGGGAGAGGGGAGGAGGCTGGGAATCAGCGCCATTCTAATCGTCATCATTTTCACCCTCATCAGCCCATCAGTTCATCATCCCGTCCTCTTCCCGTCCTCCCACCCATGTCCCTGCCTCTCTCATCTCGGTCATCATCAGCTTCATTCTGATCGCCATCTTCATCATGAACACAAGCATTGATCAAGAGCGCAAGAATCTCCACGAGGAAATGGCTCGGATGCACAAGTTCTACGAGGGAACCACTAACGATGACGACCTCTTCATCAGGCTTTTGGCGGCACACAACAAACAATTGAACCTCCTTCTCACAGGGGCACGCCGCGGCGTGCAGGCACGGTTCCAAGACATGAGTATCGAAGAGGCCATGCACTGCGAGTTATCACGCTCCGTCGGCACCGCACAGGGCATGATCCATGTGATGGTGTGGTTCGCCACGGCGGCCAACGACGAGGAGCATCAGCTCCGTAGGCTGTACGTCTGGGCGTACCTGAGACGCTACAAACTGGTGCCCCAGGGCCTTGGGGTGCTCTCCAACTTTTCGTTGCGCCTCTCGCATCAACCTCTGGAGGACAGTCAGCGACAGTGGGACGAGGCTGTTGAGCTTTACACCCGGTGCGAAGACGAGGCTACCAGGTATCGAGCCAAAGAGGAAGCCGAGCTGTGAGTATCTTCTTTTCCTCTCCCTCCTTCCGTCAAGCCGCCATTGCTAATGCCTTGTTCGGCAAACAGTCTGCCACGGAAGCAGCGGGAGAAGAAGGGTTTTGTTGGCCGCATGCGTGAACTCCATCTGATTCAGCGCAAGCTCTCCAAGCTGTTCAAGCAACAAGAGCAGTCGCAAGAACACTAGGAGCAATCGAAAAAGGAGGAATGGAATAATACTTTGCAGGATGCCCACGTAAAAGTCCTACGGGAATGGAAGGGAATGGAAAGGATGACTGAGTGTACACCTTGCAATTACAGTGTCGTTCAAGATAACTCGTCGCTTACTACGGAGTAGTTGGGCCGGTTATCTCGCCTGCCGTTTAGTCCGTCATTTAGTTTGACGTTAAGCTATTGTTGTGGCGATCTCGCGATGTTAGTGGGCAATTTTTTCCGTCATTTACTCATTTACTGTGTCATTTGGTTCCCCGTTCTTGCCCGTTTTGCCCATTTTATCGGCCATTTACTTGTTAGTCATTCAAAGTCAGTGGTTACCCGGCGGGCCTGAACGTGGCTCGGCTGGGGACCGCCTAGCCCGCTCAGGCTAGAAGGGGGTGCTTACCCCGCTGCTGTAGGCGGGAGTGCTAGGGAGCTCATCGGGTACGCTGGCGGATTTGTGGTCCCACTTCCGAGATAGCCAGCCTTGGGTGCCGGGAGTACATACCGCTTATCCGTCTTGCCCCTCCTCTGTGCCGCTGCGTGACCCAACAAGGTTTGGTTACTCAGTCACAGATCCTTTTGTTAGTATTGAACTGGATGAAGGAAGCGCAGGATATATGAGCCGTGTGACTAAGAGCAGTATAGTCAAGTAGATAACATGAGTTGGCGACGAAGGGAGCGCAAGCTATCTAGAGATAATGAGGGTGTATATATAATGCTAGCGCTCTGTGCGCTCTGCTAGTAGGGTCAACAGGGCCAGCAGGGCATATTATGAGACTTAGCCTTGCTCTCCGTAGGTTCTCCTATGTGTCCAATGAATGTGGTGAGTTGCCCCTATGCGGCTCGTGACTGGTCTCTCTCCAGGCTGTGTCTAACACATTTTCACAACGCAGCATTTCCATAACTTAGACGTCAACCTCGGAGATTCCAGGGTTGTTAGGGATTCCTTGGCAAGTAGGCAGAAACTAGCGATAAGTGCGTATGTAAGGTACCCCTATAGTATATGGTCAATACTGTACACGACCTCTAAGCATAAGAGAGGAGAGAATGCGTCTCCTATGCGGGAAGCGTGCTAGTAATTTTCCCCCGAGTCGCATCTCTTAGCTAGTGAACTGGGGCGAGGCTACTAGCCATGGGCATCAACTCGTACGGCGGTGGGTATAGCCTCTTCTCAACGCGCACACTCAACTAGGGGAAGTCCTCTCTGTTGGTAACTTGGTTGATTGTCCATTCTATGAAAGATAGTCCCCCAGGACTATATAAGAAGAACCATAGTCTAGGGTCGGCGCCCCAGCCAATCATAACGCTATCCACCACTTCAAACTTCTCCCATTACACTAGTAGCCTGATTATTCTTCGATGTATCAGGCGTCCTCCTTCCGATGTTTAGCCGAATCCGTAACAAGGATGTAAAACAGCTTTATAAATGCTTCAGTTAACTCAATGGGCTTTTTCCAAGGATGTTTTTGGAGGTGGGCTTAACACTTAAGGATTGCTCTATCACGGGACATAACGCCTAACAATGTTGGTAACATGACCACACGTTGGGTGTACCGACGGATGAACTGGGTTGCAAAGAAAGAGCCTTGTTCAGCGACTGCCGATCCCTTCCATGCTCTCCAATTCAAAGCTTTGCTCTCCGACAAGAGTACTGTAGAAGCCGTACACTTACATTCTTCATTAACAGTCTCGATTAAGCATTCAACTTGTTGGCGCGCATTATTGCCAAATCTTTAACCGATGGTAACAATATATGGAGAAATACTGCGAATGACGCAAGACTCATTCCTCTCCTGAACACTGAGACTGTTAAGGCTTCCTTGGCAAGTAGGCAGAATCTAGCGATAAGCGTATATATTGTAACAAGGCAAAGTGGCTGTGCTGTGCTGGGCTGATAGTGCGATGGCAGGGAGGAAAAGTTGTCTAGTCACATGTCAAACCAAAATGGGCTGGCAGAAAGGGGGTGCGGAACAGTTTACAGTGCTGGCAGACCGCCATTCTTTACAGTTTGAGCAGAGTATCACGAATTCCATGGTTTTTGGTGCCGTCTACCTAATTCCTGAGTGTTTTATTAGTCCTGTCCTGTTCGTCGATGCTGCCGCTGTGCTAGGTGTTCGTAACCCTAGCCGCTGCCCCTCTAGGTGGTGTTGATGGTGGTGTTGTTTTCTTGTTAGTATCAACCGGAAACGCGTTCTCGATTCCTGATCTGCTGGACAGGCCTCTGTGCGTTGTTGCACGTGCACGCCGAACTCTGAAGTGCTCTGTTACAATAAGGATAGATATATACAGATATGCAGGTGATCCAATGGGAGACAGGGCCTAAAATTAGGACTAAAGACGACATGGAGCCATGAGCAACCCGAGCAGATGTGCGGTTAGCCTGAGCAGAGTGAGGCCGAGCCGGAGTTTAGCCAGGTTACCTGAGTTAAACGGCGAGGCTACGGACCTCAACGCGGGTAACTGGTGCTGCATCTAGGAATGTCACCTAGACAGAGCATTCCCTATACGAATCCTGACCCCTATAAAGCCCATTTCTGCTGAACCGAGCACCCTAACCATATATCCTGAATCCTGACTAAGCAATTTGAGTTGTTCCCGTACAATCGAGGGTAAGTCTTGGCGAGCTGCGGGGCGAGTCTTGAGCAGCCTCGTAGCGTGAGCACAGCCGTAATTTGGGCGGCAGCTGTGCAAAGGCAGTGCTCACGATCGCAAAAGGGCAGGGACTTACTTCGCAGCCCACCTCAGTCCTCACCTGCGCAGAGAATTTATTTCACGAATGCACATCGCTTCGGTCAACAGACTGGTTTCTCTGGATATGCAGCTGGCTTGGAATTGTCGCTTGCGATGTCTGTCGAATACTTTCACTACATGCCATTGGAAGAGGGTCATGTCCGGCTCCTGGCTCTGCGGCAAGGCAGCAATCAGGATGACCCCATCGAATGTGAGCTTTACAGTTACGAGCTAGACAGCAGTCCTCCGTATGAAGCTTTATCTTACGATTGGGGTGACCCGCACACCACCGAAGTCATTTCACTGCAAGGCTCGACATTTCGAGTAATGGGAAATCTATACCATGCGCTACGTCGTCTCCGACAAAGTCGAACAATCCGGCTTTTGTGGGTCGATGCTATCTGCATCAATCAGAGCGATGTACACGAAAAGAATACCCAGGTTGCACGAATGGGCGACATATACGCTAAGGCCAAAGAGTGTCGTGATTGATCTTGGTGAAGCGACAGAGGCAACAGACCAATCGATGGACTACTTGATGCAGATTGAGGAGAGGGGAATATCGCAAATCCCTCCGATGGTTAAATTCTCTGAGGTCAATGGTAGAGAGGACGACTTAAGGCTTGAAGAAGGGTTTCGAGATATTCTATCCAGACCTTGGTTTCAGAGGGTATGGTGTCTCCAAGATGTCTTCCACGCCCAAGCCGCAGTTGTGCATTGCGGCTCCAAAGCTGTGTCTTCAATGACCTTCGCCCGCGCCTCCAAATTATGGCTGGACAAGCCAGACGGTCTATCACACCAGGTCTTGGATCTAATGTCCGGGCCTAGAAGAAACGACCGAGCGGCTTCTAAATACAACTCTATGACCTTCTGCAGCGGTTTCAGCACGCAAAAGCGACAGACCCACGAGACAAGATCTATGCACTTTTGGCCATGGTCGACGATGGGAATTCGATTATGAGGATCTTCAAGGACTATTCCATGTCTCAGCAAGATTTGATGCGTGCAGTTATCGCGAATCTCTGCTTCTGTGAGTGGAGTAGTGTGCCTGAGCTTCCATACAATACGATCGACGAATTCTTGTCGAACCTTGATCCGATCGATAATGGCGTCCTGGAGAAGATTTTTGAGTCGTCACAGGAAATCGATTTGGAGTCCCTACTTCGACATGGATTGCACTATATCAGAATTGACCGCTTTCTTGTTGAAGCTGCGAGCAGGAATAAGACCAAAGGCAATGAGATGGTTGAGCTTCTTCACAAAGCAATTGGCCAGGAGAGATCAGCTTCCCCAACTCCATCAGAAGCGACATCAGTATTTTCGGACGTCTCTGCGCCCTCGACAAACACTTCGTATACGCCCGAGGATGTTGAGATCTCTGTTTGGCACGTGGTGGAAATACTGCTAAGCAAAGATGCCTTCGCTGATCTATGTCAGAGTGGTTTTCATAGCAAGGACCTAGAGCCGGCCAGATTCGCCGATAATTTACGGCGCATGTTGAAGACCTTCGGCAGGGCACTCCTAATTGAAGCTCAATCTTACAGTGCTCGGCTTATAGCGCTGCTGATCCTTGAGGGTTCTCGCCGTATGGCGGCGTTAATCAGAGTCCGGTATGATCGGAGCTATGAGTTTGTCGGCTCAGAATTGATTGATTCCAACGTAGCATCCATGACAGTAACTGAAAGGCGATCTCGAATCGACAATTTTATTCAGCAGCTCAATTCAGCGGACACTGAGACGGCCAAACAATCTCGAGATACGACCGAGAGGAATAGCGATTCAGAGGACGATTCAGACACCATCTTGGATGAAGAGGCAGCTACGGTCTCTTCGCTTGACGAGATTGAGAATTTTATCCCGTCCAGTCAAGCTTTCAAAGGTCTGCTAGAGACTCTCACATCGTTCTTGAAGCGTCCAAAGTTTCAAGACGTATCGCCCTCAATGGCTGTGCTGAACCATGTACAATCCCAGTCTACGGCTACCAATCCACTCGCATGAGCCGTCATCAAAGTTGCAGAAGTATTCAAGAGAAGGAAGTTCTACAACTCTTCCGAAGTTGGAGTTAACTAGGGATTCATTCTCGATGCGGGTCTACGAGAGGCTATCATGCTGGCTGACGAGGATAGAGAGACCCAAAGCAGGGCTCCATAGAATCCAGTACACTTGCGTGAGAATTTCTCGTAACTTATATTGCAAAGACATATCGCTAACTTTTGTCGTAGAGCTGTGGTGAGCCTATGTTCGTTGATGTCAAAGAGCTGAGATCTGGGGGACTTGACAAATTCCAGAAGCAGCTCGCAGCATCATCAGCTCGGTCCCAAGGGCAGATACTTGCTGGGTCTGGCGCAACGTCTTCAGGATTGCCCAAGATGCCCCAACGAGCATATGTTACAGGCGGTTCTAGTGGTGGGTTGTCAAATCCACCTCCCGTACCTGACCAAACAGGTTTTAAGGAGTCGCCTGGAGACCTTCGAACGGGATCAGGTCGACAACAAAATGTTCAAACCATCGACGTTGGTGCAATTCCCCGTTATCTATTGCTCTGCGTAAATACACGAAACCTGACCAAGCTTCTCCATGTGGATCTCAGTTACATTGAGAATGACCAACTCCTGTTCGATGGCATCCGGCGCAGATATTGGGAGGCGAGCAGACATGATTCCTGGCACTATGGGTTGCTTGCACCTCAGTGGCTGGCGGATCGAATGTCTGCTACTTGGAGAGACTGGTTGGGGACTGTGCACTTGCGGGTGCCTCGAAGCGCGGAACTCATCGAGGTTAGTCTCTCCCTTAGTATCTCTCGTGAGATGGCTGCGTCTTGTTAACAACACCTCAGTTCCGACTTGTGCCGTTCCACGCAAGCATCTGTCCTGATAAGGTCAGACTCAGGCTGCCACCCGAAGACCAAGTTAAGGTAGAGAAGAACTATCACTACGACCCCTGCCCAACCGAAGTTGAAGTCTTGAGCATACCTAAGTTTTCGCACCTCCTAAAGCCCGGTATTCACTCTTACGACTTCTGGTTGAAGACGTTCCCAAAGAAACTGCGTGGTAAGCTAACGTACCAGCCGGCAGTCATCGGATGGGGCTTGACAATCCACGAAGGCTGGGATTGGGTCGTCCTGTTCTCCAATATGCTCGTGCTTACGATCCTAGTCGGCGTTGCTGATGTACTATACGCTGTCTTCACACACGACTCAGCTTCCGCATTCGGCTTCGGTGCCTATGCTATGGCTGTAGTTCCACTCTTTCTCACTGTAAAGTACTGGGCATGGCAAGAGCATGAGAGTTCATAGTCGAAGCACATTGACGAAGTGTGACTATGAGGTCGGAAGGGGCTCGGGACTGACAGGCAGCGTGCCACATTTATTTTGAACTAGATGTAGTCTCGAGAATTGATGCTTATTCAATACAGTATGTAAACCAACAGGGAAAGTCATCTAATGTTGTTGATGGAAGTGCTATCTGGACAGTGCAAACTGCATCAACGGCAGGATAAATGTGACAGCCAGGGTTACCAAGACATGTAAAGACCGTCGACGCTAGTATCCGGACGAAGGCATCGGACTAGCGCCGATACCCACAGTGTAAATTACCAAACAGTACAAAGTCAGGCAGACCTCGTGGTCCTGCAGAATCTATCATGTCCTCCAATTGAGTCACATAAAAGGTCAGGCTGCATCACGTGACTGGACAAATGCGCTAGGCATTGCAACACAGTATTACATTAGAACGCTAATCCGCCGCCCTCCTTTCTCCGCAGGCGACGCTCTGGGAAGCTTTGAGAATAAGTCATAGGGAGCTGAACAACCTGAGCAGATAGGCCGTTAAGTTAGCCCGAGCAGACACCGGGTGAGGCTGAGCCGAGGTCGGGCCTGGTCACCTGACGTCTCAAGTCAAGCGGTGATTGGGGCACGCCAAGAGATGTAATGACAGCCCGAAGGGCTTCGAAGCGTGTTGTAAGGGCTTTGTACTAAGTCCGAAGCCCTCCAAAAGTATATAGTCAGGCGTCTCCCCAGATCCCTTCGAAATCAACCAATGTCCTCCGATTTGAGTGACATGCTCACCCTTCTTATCACCTGTGCTCAATCTTCTGCGATCAACTTCCGACCGCAAGTATCGAAAGACAAACAGCGCCGGAAACAGAATTTAAGGCCGTGCGAATACTTTAGGGAAACAGGAAATCGTAGTGAAATATAAAGTGCCAGATGACCGGGGAAGGGGAAGGTCTGGGCAAACGGGAGTGGCATCGCTACAAACCTGCTGCAGGACGCGTTGCTCAGAGGAAGTTTTTTTTTTTTTTTTTTTTTCAGAAATGTAGTAACAAAGCATGAATAGCCATTCCCAAAGAGCCCAAGACTATGACGCAGCATGCGTCGTTGATGCTGAACTGCGGCCGGAGAAGCTGAGCAGTGCTAGTTCAAGGCGAAGTTCTCAGCAGCAGTGCTAGTCTAAGGGGTTGTGTCACGAATAGCTATCCCAAGCCCTATTATCTGCACCTGAATCAGGTGGGCTACTTAGGGCAGGCGGTATAGGTGTTGCAGACAAGGCTGTCAGGGGACAAGGCTGAGGAGCACAAAAGCTGTCGGGATACATGCCTCATGCTTACACCACGTGATAGCAAAAGAGGAGAAGCTACAAGAGTCTCTTCCCTACTCATTCAGGTGGGAAACGATCCTTCTTTCTTCTCCAAGCGTTGAGTCTTCGTCTATATGGACTACAGATAGTTAATCGCATACAGCAATCCAATCCATCAGTGCCTCCTGTCTGGCGTAGGTCCTGATAGGTTGGCTCGATGGTGCGAACTAAGCACGCTGTCCTCGCAAAAAGAATGCTATGCATTGACCTGACCTTTTCGCTAACATTGCGCAGTCTGACCCAGGCTCTGTTGTCCATGTCTAGAGCATAAGTGGATCTGGGTGGTTAGCAAGTGAAGAAACCTCAGCTTCAATCTCTCTTCAGACTCCGCAGATGCCATTAACCGTGAATCAGGGCCGATACACGAACTAATGTGAGTACACGGAATAATTGTTTTCCCTTCTTTCCGTGTATTACGTGGACCAGCATGGATTGGTTACACGGATCGCTGATAGCTCCTCCCAGATAGCTAGACGGAGACTTGATAAATTTAATAGGTATCTAGCTAACAAGGGATACACTCTTCCTCACTGATCAACATGGTCAGCAGAATCTGCGATGCTGCCCAATCAACCAAACACCTTTGTGGAAGATGTCGCAACATCCCTGCTGAAACATTTTACAGCTCGAAGAAATCTGATATTGGTTCTGAATGGCTCTACGTGCCGCGAACGAGGCATCAGCTTATTGAAGGTCCTTGTGCCCTCGATGAGCTGAAGCGAGCGGCAGAGGCTGGCTGTGAGCTGTGTACACTATTGGAAGACGCGCTCTCACTATGTATTCATGATCCATGGACGCAGCTGAGGAGGCAACCCTCAATCGATGGCCCTTACCTTTGGACTCTACTCTCATTATGATCTTGATGTTCGCATTTCGGTCGAACGCAACGGAAAGGATCCCGAGATCCTCTTCCCCAGCTGGCTTGGAAAGCCTGGATCATATCTCATTGAACCTAGCGCCGATACATCCTCTTCTTTAGCCTTAGCGCTCTTATGGATTGCAGAGTGCATCAATAATCATACGGAATGTGCAGTCTCCCCGAGAACTCGATTCCCTCGGAGCTTGATCAACATCGGCCAAGAACCGATTGGCATTGTTCCAACAAATAATCTTCATAGTCTAGGAGAAGATGCGCACTACGTCGCTCTAAGCCACTATTGGGGTGGACCCGGCTCTATTCTTCCACCAAAACTTACTATGAAGACCTTGGCTACAGTTGAACAAGGTATTCCAGATTCGGACCTTCCACCTACCTTTTTGGATGCGGTCCGAACAACCAGAGCGCTCAGCTTTCGGTATTTGTGGATAGATTCACTGTGTATCGTCCAGGATGACAGGACGAATTTCGAAATAGAATGTGCCAACAAGAACTCTATATACAGTAACGCCGACCTAACAATAGCTGCCTCTGACGCAATGTCACGAACCCACCGTTGTCCCTAAGTACTCTACGCCCTCCACCCGAATCGGGTGGACGGTATAGAAAGAAAAGGAAAGGATAAGGCAAAGGACGGTTGAGGCACAAGGCTATCGGTTAACGCTGCCTTACCCTTTTCACGTGACAGAAAGAGGGGAAGCTATAAGAGTCTCCTCTCACCTGAATCGGCTGAGAGAGAACTCTTCCTTTTTCTCAAGCGTTGAGTCGTTGTTAATAGGGCTACGTGAATAGAATAAGACATTTAGCTACTTTAATTTCTTTATATCTACTACGTTGCGTAGGTCCCTAATAATTCTCAACGCTTACCTATCACGCAGTGACACTATCGAGCTAGCAGTAGCTACATACGATTCTAGGGAGACCCTTAAAAACCATCCTTACTAGGGTAAGTTCTCACCTAAATTAGGTGAGAATGAATCCCCCATCGCCCCGAGACAATGGGGCGCCCGAGGTCTCGTCGGGGACCGTCGATAAAGACCCTACGATTACTGTGGGCCCTATAGACCCGCGACACCCTATTTTCACGTCTACGGACGTGAGTGACCTCGAAGAAATGGATGATGAATAATTATAGGCCGAACTATCTAGGCTTAAAAGAGAAAGGACACGGCGAGAATAAATAGATCGAATTCATTATCTACGGAGAGGGGGTACTCTTAGTGTGGAATAGAGATTAATATAAGAGACTATAGTATATTCTCGAAGTCTCTCACCTAAATCGGGTGAGAATAATAAGCGACTAGTCATAGATAATTTAGCTAGCTACGCGAAAATCTTTAAGACGGACCTCCCGAAGTATTTTAATGAGGGTAGTTACTAGGCCTTAACCGAGTTTATTATAGATATCGAGATGTATTTCGAGTTCTATCACTAGAATCTAATAGACCCTAAGGTAGCTAAGCGGACCATTTAAACGGCGGTAATCTAGCTAGATAGAGAGCCTCGTTAGGTATATTATAGATAACGTAACGTATCCGTTAGTTAGGAGGAATTCCTTACGTTTCTTCGAGGTACTATTAAAGATCCTTAAACTCGCACTTTTAAGGCCACTTATACTACTTAGTTTAGAAAGTAATGAAAAGAATAGAGTGTTCGTTAGTACTTATATAAACTAGAGTAAGTAGAGGCCGAGGTAGAGACATTAAGACTTACGGAAGTCGAGCAAAAGATATAGCGTTTTCTTTACGGTCTATAGCTTAATATTTATAACGTAGTTATAGTAGAGCTATAGAAGGTACGTCTTAATAGAGATACTATCCTTACGGCCGCCTATCGCCATGAGACACGTTTCGCGAATAAGTAAAAGGGTAAGGCTAAGAAGAAGAATGCTTTAGGGAAAAGAAATGAGCTCCTAAAGTAAAAGACATCGATGGCTATAATAGAAAGTGAGAATAGAACTTCCCACCCGAATCGGGAGAGAAAAAACATATCTAGTTCGCTAAACGTATTAGCTGAGCCCAAAGCTAAGCAGAGAGAAAAATCAACGTCCTCGTTTGTTCCTAAGTACTATAATTATTATAAGAAAGGGTATCTAGTACGGAATTGCCCTAAAAAGGGTATAAAAAAATAGATACCAATGTGGTAAACGTAGCTACCGCATTGGGGTACATTTAGTCTACGAGATACGGCGCATTAGAGTAACGCTGTGTAAGTATTTAAGTAATAGTCCGAGTAAAGGGCGAGAAGCATTAATTGCGGGCTCTTATGGACTATAGGGTATAGGACGACTTCATCTTATAGATAACTATTGTTAGGCTTAGTTTAAAAGGCGTTCCACTAGATATATTTAGGAAGGCTATGGATGGTCGGTAGATCACCATTTACGGCCGTTATAGCCTCGAGGTTTAGGCCATTAATGACCGGGGGAGAACTACTAAGACTAGACTTAATTTATTATCTATGAATATCGAGGGATTCGATATAATACTCGGTATACGCTGGCTCGAAGTAATTAATTCCGACATTAATTTTAGAGATAGTATCTAGGTAGTGAGAGATCTAGATCGCTAAACCCGAATTAATATAATTACAGCGTAAGAGCTTATTTAAGAAAAGAATGAAATCTACATTATATAGTATTAATCTTTAGAGAAATCTTAAAGAGTTTCTTACTCGAATCGGGTAGGGTAGTGTTTCACTCGTCTCCGAACTCTTACATTAAGTAAAGACGGAGGTATATCTTCTCTTTATACTAGCTATAGCGACGTAGTATTAGATCCGGGCGAGGCTTAAATTTCACTAGTGTCGAAGGTAGAGTATATAATTAATCTTACGCTAGGTATAATAGCACCCTATGGGCCTATCTACCCTTTAAGTAGTAGAGAACTCGAGGCTCTAAGAGAATATCTCGACAATGCATTAATGAAAGAATAAATTTAACGAAGTATCTTACTTACTAAGGCTCCCATTCTATTTATCCTAAAGAAAGACGGAGGACTTCGCCTCTATATGGACTATAGAGGACTAAATAAGGTCACGATTAAGAACCGTTATTCATTGCCCTTAATATCTAAGATCCTTGATCGCCTAGTAGGAGCAAAACTCTTTACAAAGCTAGATCTACGAGATGCTTACCATAGGATCCTCATTAAGGTAGAGAACCAGTGAAAAACAGTATTCCGCACTAGATATGGGTAGTTCGAGTACTTAGTAATGCCTTTTGAGCTGACGAATGCCCTAGCTATCTTCTAGGTATATATGGACGAGTCCCTAAAGAGCTTACTAGACGTTTTCTACATTGTATATATGGACGATATTCTAATCTTTAGCAGAATAGAGAAGGAACACGAGGATTATGTTAAATAAGTGCTCGAAAGACTCCGGAAATCACGGCTTTTCATTAAACTTAGTAAATGCGAGTTCTATGTAAGAGAAGTAACATTCCTAGGCTTCATCGTTAATGAGGAAGAAGTTTTAATGAATTCTTAGAGAGTGGTAGCCATTCGAGAATAGCCTACCCCCTAAACATTTAGAGATATCTAGATATTCCTAGGGTTTACTAATTTCTATAGGGGCTTCATCCGTAATTTCTTAAGAGTGGTAGCGCTAATTATAGACCTACTAAAGAGAATAAAGTATGGCGTAAAGAAGGGCCCTCTAGAATGAACCCTAAAAGTAGATGAGGCTTTTTAAGAGCTTAAGAAGCGCTTTAAAAGAGCCCCTCTACTTCATCATTACGATCTAGATCTAGAGGTAAGAGTAGAGATCGATGCCTTTAGTAGTGAACTAAGAGATATATTATTCTAGAAGATCACTATTCTCTCACCTAAAACGAATAAGGAATCTTTATTCGTTTAGAAATCTATAGTCTTCTACTTCCGTAAATATAAATCTAAGGAAATTTAGTACTCTACGGGTGACTAGGAAATACTAGCGATTATATACGTATTTAAGGAATAAAGGCATTATCTAAAAGTCCTCTCTAAGACAGTGACTATGGTCACTAACTATGAAGCGCTAACCTACTTTATGGATATAAAGGTATTAGCTCGAAAGAGATAAATACACTGGGTAGAAGATCTAGTAGCATTTAATTTTCGTATTAAATGGAGAGTAGATAAGAAAAACCCCGCTGATGGTATAATGGAAGAAGTTGGAAGTGGTGGATAGAGTTATGATTGGCTGGGGCGCCGACCCTAGACTATAGTTCTTCTTATATAGTTCTGGGGGACTATCTTTCATAGACAACATAAGCAACCAAGTTACCAATAGAGAGAACTTTCTCTAGTTGAGCGTACGCGTTGAGAAGAGACTATACTCACCGCCGTACGAGTTGATGCCCATGGCTAGTAGCCTCGCCCTAGTTTAATGGTGCCACCAACAAGATCTTCGGCGAATACTTATAGATGGGTGTCTCTCTACGAGCGGTGAGAGAAAATTACGAAAAACAACTAAACTAAACTACTTACTAAATTAATAAAACTGAAGAACTGCCTACCTACCTATCTAACTAAATCTGGAGAAACTAGCTATACATGCAGAACCGCTGCGCAGGGTATACTATTTAGATTACTGGCTGAGTAAGTCTGTCCCGCTGTACGGAGTGGTTTGCGCTGGCTGTTCATAGAGACCGCTGCTCGGGGTGCCTTTTAGAATTACTAGCTATGTATGTTTGCTGCCACTATATAGGGTGAAGACCAACGACTTAACGACTATTTAAACTGCCTAGAAGAAATGAAAGAGAAGTATCTCCCAGGAATGTGGGAATGCGTTTAACCCTAAAAACTCCTAACTTAAGAAGCTCAGGAGGAGTCGAAGAACGCGGATCTACTTAAGAAATGACAAAAATGAGCGGTTGAACTGGACTCGCTGAAATGTGCGAAGTTAAAGCGCTACTAACCGGGAAGTGAATCTAGAATTTTAATGAAAATTACTAGTGAAGACAAGAAAGGAGCTCGACGAGAAAGTCGGTGAAGAGATAAAGAGAAGAAGAGAAAAAATAACAATAAAAGTGTTAAAAACAATAAAATATCTAGATCTTTTAGTTTCGCCATTAAGATTTTACACTATTTCGATTATAAGAGAAGGAGTAAGAATAATTTAATAAAGAAAAATATCGTCTACGGAAGAATCGAATAGTAAAGGAAAGCTAGGACCTTCTATAATATCGAGTATTAGCTCATAAGATCTATCGACGCCGGATTCGACGGTATAACCGTTGTACGTCCCTCCTACCGTGATATTAATGAGGGAAATACCTTAGAGCTCAAACGAAAGTGACAACCTTCTATACTTTAATAGGAAGAACGCTACCTCTTTCTTCGAGGAGTTTAAAGAACTATATAAATATAATTAGATTATATTAAGCGGAGAACGTATTCGTAGATCTATTCGCTTTATATCTAAAGAAGAGAAAGAACGCTGTAAAGAGCTCACTAAGTATAACGTAATGAAGTAGAAAAAGTTTAAAGAGAAGGTCTTAGATAAATATAAAGATCGGGACGAAGTGTAGCGAATAATGAGTGTTTAATATCTTTAGGTACTCGCGAAGTATCGACGAAAGAAG